GGACTAAGAGCCCTGTAAATAATCTAGGCCTAATCTGATTACTCTAGAGAGGGTTAGGGTTAGAGTTTTGATTTATGTTCATTAAAATATGGGTGGTTCCATTAAAAAGTTTATTCTGAACAAGTGCCAGAATACAGAATCTTGCTTCCCTCTCTTCCTTTACAAAGAGCCAGAAGCAGGCTGAACTTCATAGCTTTAAAGTTTATCTTAATTAAAAAAAAAACAGATGTTTCCACAAATTCATGAATTCCTTGTATTTATAATGGAGGAACTGTTCAGCTAACATACTTAACTGACAGGGCTGTTCCTTTCTCCTCTTTAGCCAAAGTGGAAAGGCAGTTTAAGCTGGCAAGTATGCATTTTTTCATGCAGAAAAAGTGTTTGTTCCTCACCACCTTCATAAGGAAAAATGTTTTCTTTCTTTTAAAATATTTTTCCCAGTTATTAACAGAAAAGTACTAGAAATCTTCTCACCCACCAAAGTTTCTGGAGACCAGAATGCAGTCTTTCCCCAAGCTCAGTTCTCCACTCAGATGTTAGAGATACAGTGACACCTCAGGCCTGGCAAATTGCCAGCTTTGAAGCAGAGCTTTCTACTTTTGAGAAATCCCCTCCTCCAGGGACCTATTCAGTCCATTCATTGGTTGTCTTTTAAACGACTGGACTATCTTCTTTTTGAGAGACGTTTAGAGCAATGAGGGGTCCTTGGAGCTCTCTGATCTTGGTGGTTTTCTTGCAGTCGTTTCATCACCCAAACTAGGTAACACCATGACATCACCTAGTTTGGGTAATGAAACATCTGCAAGAAAACAATCAAGCTCAGAGAGCACCAAGGATCCTTCATTTCAACCCTGAGCTACAAATGATCTCTTTTATTGGTACATTTAGAGTAATTTGGAAACTCCTTAAATAATGCTTTTAATGTTCAGTTTTATAGAATTTTAATCAGCTTTTTATCTATTTCTTTCTGCTTATTATCTGAAGAATTTCTAATTAGATATAATCCTGCTAAGCTAGTTCCTGAATGCCAAACAGCTGGCCGTTACAGACCATTTTCTAGAGATTAACAAACAAAATGGCCAATGTCCGACAAGAGAGGCTAAGATAGACTGTGAAACGTTTATCATGCAACCTAAATAAATGTTCTCTACGCTCCATCCACACTGGACAATAAATCTGGAATGGTTTTTGCATTTTTGATATATCCAGAGATTTAATTCTTGAGTATCTCCCCTGGTTGTCGTGACAGGTTAGATTGTTTAAGAGGGTTAAAGTATGGAAATATATCACCCTTTTTCTCTCGTCTATAAAAAAGCGAAACAAATTCTGTTCTGCAATAAATACAGAAAAGGAGGAGAGAAATTAACATGTATTCCAGATTGTCTGGTGTAAATAAATAAGTTTTCTTGGTTTATTGTGGAACAGTTTCTCCTAACTACACTGATGTAGTGCTTTCTCCTTTTTCCCTTCTCCCCCCTCCAGCTAAGACAGTTCCAGGGACTGCAGGGAGCCCTCAGCCGCCAGCTTTCTCTGCCTCACTGGATTTGAGCTCCTCTGTGACAGTGACATCCCCTAAGCCTCTGGCTCCCAACGTACCTGTTTCCCTCTCTACTGCTCCTCCTCCTCCAGGCACTTCCCTGCCCACTAGTAGCGCAGGCAATTTGGTGACAGCTTCTTCTGAGCCGGGCCACACTCCAGCCAGGCCCTCGTCTGCTCCAAAGCCCAGCATCCTCTTTGGGATCCTCACCAGTCCTCCAGCTGACAAGCCCCCAGCTGCAACCACGCCATCGTCTTCTGCGCCCTGCACAGTGCCTGTGTTCAAGCCAATCTTTGGCAGCCCAGCAAAAAGTGAGAACTTTAGCTTCTCCACAAGTGGCACCACTGTGGTTTCTGCCACCGCGCAACCTGTGCCTTCTTTGGCACCTCCGGTTGCTCCCAGCGCCACATTCAAACCCATCTTTGGATCACTGTCTACACCAGCAACTGCTGTCCTGCCTACAACCACTTCATCGTCTCCCTTCACATTCGGCCAGGCCCCTCAGCCAGCAGCAGCATCTGGCCTCCCTGCCATCAACGCCTCGAGCAGTTTAGGGCTCCCTGTTCACCCAGAGGCCCCCATTACCACCTCGGTGTCACCTCCTGGAACAGCAAGCGTGACCTTTGTCTCCATGAGTAAACCTGTGTTCAGTTTTGGGCCAGGCATCCCATCCTCTGCCACTGCCCCCAGCAACAGCAGCAGCAATAGCACTCCTGCCACTGCTGTCTCCACGCTGGCATCCCAGCCCTTGCTATTTGGGGCTGCCCCCAATGCCAGCACAGCTGCCATGCCCCTTTTCCAGTTTGGCAAGCAAGCTGCCCCCACAGGCGCCACTGTCAATCTCTTGGCACCCTCCAGCACCACTAACTCAGCACCCACTGTTACTGCCACCGCCGCCACCACAGCCAATACTGGCTTTGGCATTTTTAGCGGCGGCAGCAGCAGTTCCACGCAGGCTTCTTCAGCACCATCGGCCACCACCCAACCTCCACTGACATTTGGATCTTGCACCTCTGCGTTCAGCAGCACCTTTGGGGCTGCCTCAAAACCACCCCCTCCCTACCCTGCGGTTACAAGCCAGCTGGCTTTTGATTCAGGTGTCTCTGAGGGCCAGCAGGCAGCTCTCAAGCCTCCGGCAGCCGGGCCCCTGAACTTTGGGACTCCTTTCAGCTTCAGTGGCTCAGTAGCCCAACCTGCAGCCCAGCCAGCCTTTGGCAGCTCCACGCAGACCCCCTTTGGAGGGGCTGGCCCCATGGCATCCTTTGGAGCCAAAAGTACTTCCCAGCCGGCCTTTGGAGTCGCATCGTCCATCTTTTCTTTTGGGACAGCCACCACATCCAGCACGCAGACTACAAGCAGCAGCACAGGGAGCTCTGTCTTTGGAGGTTCAGCCCCGGCTCCGTTCGCCTTTGGGGCATCGAATCCCGCCCCGGGCGTAGCAGGCAGCGCTTTTGGCGTTGGCGCCAGTGCTACAGGCACAGGAGTGCCCACGGTCGGATTCGGTTTCGGCAGCGGGCAGAGCGGAGCTGCAGAGGGAGTGACACCCTTTGGAACTTCCTTGGCACAAAACCCTCTGGGTGCCCAGAACCAAAACTCTGCCTTTGCTTTCAGCATCCCAAGTACACCTGAGAGCAAGCCAGCATTCGGAGGTGAGTGTCCCCTTTGCTTGGCCTCTTTCTTGTTCAGTACTCCTACTTATTCTTGGGGGGGGGGGGTGTTCTTTCTAGTTTTGCTATTGGGCTGTTTTGATTCCCGGGGCTTGGTCTAGAAGTCCTACCTTGATATTTGAAGCCATTGAGAATAGGTGAATTCGTATTTCGGCTCAGGAAGACGCATGCAGAGATTTTTCAGCTCTGACCAGATTCTGTTTCCATTCTGTCTCCTAAATCCAAGTCTCATTTCCTTTGGCTTTGTTTGTTTCCCTATGCTCATTAGAACAAACATTGCTTCAGGTGCAGGGGATTGAGATGATGAGACTGGAGCCCAATTTAGGTGGCCATAGATTGGAGCAAGTTGCATGTGAGGAAATGAAGGAAAGGCAGGCATTTCTGGGCCGACGGATACCTGTATCCTTAGCTGATTTTGGGAGGAAAGTCCAATGGAAGAGAGGGGAAAGGGCTGATAAGACTCACTTGGTGTTCTTGTATTGGGATAAAACAATAATCTTTTGTATAAAACATTCAGAGAAAGTGGCTCCTGTCATTCAGGTGTGCCTGACAGTGTCAGGCCGGGATTGGTGATCTTGTTTTCCATAATGTGACTTCATTCTCTAATAGACACTTTGCTTTGGCTACTATTTGGTGATTAGGAACTCCCACGCCTACATTTGGGCAAAGTACACCTACCCCAGGAGGCGGCACAGTAGGGAGCTGCAACCTTTCCTTTGGAACACCCATCACCCCCGCCTTTGGAGGAGGGACACCTACTGCTTTTGGTAAGGATTTGGAAGTTGAGGGTGAGGGGGTCCGTTCTGTTACAAGTCCCTTTGCAACGCTTAGAATGCAGGGATCGGACAGTAAAATAGTTAAATCACTGCAGAACAACTTTTTTGTTTTGTGGATCTGGGGATGAGAGGATTTAAAACAACAATGAGAGGATTTAAAACATTTAAAACAGCATTATTAATACAAGGAAGGGTTAACATCATATAGCAATAGCAGATTTTTATATACCGCTTCATAGGGCTTTCAGCCCTCTCTAAGCGGTTTACAGAGTCAGCATATTGCCCCCAACAACAATCTGGGTCCTCATTTTGCCCACCTCGGAAGGATGGAAGGCTGAGTCAACCCTGAGCCGGTGAGATTTGACCCGCTGACCTGCTGATCTAGCAGTCAGCTGGAG